TGTTACACTTGACGTAAAATGTTCAGCTTCCCAAAGAATACCAGGGAACAGACAAAGGTATTCTTACTACCACAAAGACACCACATTAGTTCTTGATAATGACTGAAAAAGTCAAAAATACTTGAACAAAAATACCAAATTATGAACTTCAGACAGTTTATTCACAATTTCATGCACATAAAACAAAATCTTATCTGAAAATTGAAAAAAAATATAAAAAAAAATTAAACAGGCAAACCTATATATATATGTATGTATGTATATATATATATATATATATATATATATATATATATATATATATATACACACACACACACATGCAAGTAATGAAAAATTTTTAAGGAAGATGAACATTGTCTTGAATAAAGCACCAGCCACACATCAGTTTCATATTTGTATCAGACACTTTCAAGTTGATATCCAATGATCATGTTTTTTTTTTTTTGTTTTTTTTTTCCCCCCATTATCATCATTCCATCAACTCCTAGCAAAGTTCCTGTTACTTTTGCAGAGAAACACCCACAACATGTGACACTCCCCCTTCCATGTTTTTATTGTAAAGGACGGGGGACTTAGGATTGGAAGACTCACCTTGACATTTTCAAATAAATTTCTTACCATTATACCCAACAAAGTTCTAGTTTTGCATCATCTGACAATAGTGTATTTTCAACAGAATGAGATAGCCTTATCAGTTCATTTTCAAATGCCAAATGAGATTTCAAAATGACTAGCCTTTAGAAAAGTAGTCTTACAAAGTCAGTATACTTGTAAGCATGGTATGATAGTTCTTGTTACTCTCATTTCAGCAACTAATTAGTAGTTGTTGTTAATAATAATAATAATGTTTTGAGATGATGCTCAAAGATAAGACTGACCAGTTAGAAAAGCATTAAAACAATGTTAGTGAAAAAGAATAAATAATATTTTGGTTGATTCTATGACATGTCAATACTTGTTGGGTTATTTAATGCTGAATTTTTATATGGGGTACCCAGTGAGGATTGAACTTATTACTCAGTAGTAATGGACAACCAAATTAGCCTCTCTAACCATTATGCCATGCTGAAGCACCTAAATAAACAATAGTGATACATTATGAAAGATTTTACAATATAAAAATAATCCCCAAATATTCACAATTGTTAAATAACTGTTTTAACAAACTGATCTTTCGAAAAAAATTATTTCTAAATTCTATACGGCACAGAGAACATCTGAGGCAAAAATAAGGCTTAACCCAGGTAATAGGTAATGCATACATAGTATGTTGCAGATATCAGCATTTCTACAACCATTAAAAAATGGGACTAATAATCAATCATAAAACAGCCATAAACAGAAAGCAAAGACTGTCAAAAGCTACAATTCATTATACCACAAATATGCAACAGCTGTTAAGTTATTTGCTCAAAGTAGAGAATGAAATTTAATGCACATGTTGAGCTGAACAGCTGCAGATATGAATGGATTATTCACAAAAACATAGGAGAAAAGTAAATATTACAAAGCCAGTGCAAAATTTAGAGAGAAAAAAAAATTAGATTTCAAACAACACCCAGCTCAACAACTTACTCAAAAGAAATCCAACAGGAACTAAAAAAACCCAAAAAAACTACTAACGAGAAATAAGAAATGATTCCTGTTTAAAACAAATCAATCAAGTTAATATCTTCAACTACAGGTGCATCTCTGTGTAGTCACATTCCTTCTTACTACTCTTATAACTATGTCCTGTACCAAATAACATTTTTATAGTTACTAAATTTAACTTAGTGCATCACAAGGCCAAATGGTAAGAGAAAAACTGCATTACATCGATCATTTAAATCTTTTTCTTTTTTGTATGGGTGTGAATGCAGACCTCAGATAATAGTGAGGTATGCGTGGAATGATTCAAAAGTAATGCATCCTATTTATTTCCACAGAAACAACAACAGCTAGAGGAAGCACAATAGCATAGTTGGATAAAGCAGGTTTTCAGCTACAAAATACTCTCTTATTCCATATAGTCACCACCACTGATTTTGCATTTACATCTACAATGAACAAAAAACTGCATGCCTCACTCAGAAAAATCTGTACCAGCAACCTGCTTTTTCACAGCTGTAATGACAATGTTGTTGTCAGGAAAATATCATCCATGCAGCCTGAACAGATGGAAGTAGGGATGTACCATTGTACCAAATCCAAACTATATGGTGGGTATGAGAGGACAGTTCAACCAAAATTTGCAAAATAGTTCAAGGTTTTCAAACTGGTTTTGGACATGGCCTTATGTTGCAAGGCAAAACAATGATGTGTTCTTAATGCAAAGGTTCAAAACCTATTTATGATTGTGTGCCAATATAATAGGAGGCATTACTTTCAGAGCAATGATCATAAATAACTATTTTGATCAAAGCACAAACAATAATATCCTTCAACAAACCAAATAGGATAAACCAGCTTCAACAATGTTACAATTAAAGATTTATGACTTGTATAAATTAATACAAACAAGTAAATATGTAATATCAAAGACATCGATACTATTATAACTGACAAATAGATTCAAGGGTTTCTAATAAATGAGAAAACAATGTTTTCTTTTAAAAAAAAAAAAACAAAAAAAAAACTATACAATTTAAAAGAAATATGTAAGCTAAGACTTAACAATGGCTTCTGTATTAATCAGTTAAAACAGAAATGATGAGGTCCATAAAAGATTTATAATGACTTTCCTCCAATGAATAGAGGTGTAATTGTACACATATTGAAACCTGCGTCTATACATGAGATATAATTCAATCTGCAGGCCTTTGTAAATAAATATTTCAGTGCTTCAGATGTGAATGCGCAGGAAGATATGACCATAAAGCGAGTGGAATACAGAGCTCTAATCAGATTCATGCTTTTAAAAGGCAACACATGGCAAACAATTTTTTTGGAAATGATGAGTTTATAGACCAGATGTCCCATCCTATGATGTCATTAAATACGAGTCACGCCACAAGTCACGTCGTTTGAAATGTGGAAATGGTCCGTCTACCTGTCTTCAGTTAAACATTGATAGCTGATAGCAATATCACTCAAATAGAGATTGCTACATAACCAATTGCAAGTTAGCAAAGCCAAGTTTAATGCAGCATCTGTGAAAAAAAGTTCCTTGTTTGCTCACACAGAAGGAAACCAGATACAATTGCTCCCATAAACTTTTGGCCTTGTTTAAGCAAAACCAAGTGAACTTTTTTTCACCCAATGAATTACACAGGATGAAATGTGGATTCATTACTTTGACTACTGAAACTAAAGCTCAAAGTAAATAATAAAAGCCTGGTGATTCCCTATCACCAAAAAAGTCCTATGTCCAAATTTCTGCTAGCAAATTGATGCTTATACTCTTCTCAGACTAAAATGTTGTGGTACTTATAGATTTCCTGGTCAAACTGAGACATTATGCCTTATTGCTGATGAAATTATGAGAAGCCATCACAACCCATAGAGACATTGTTCAACCAAGGTGGCCAGATCTTACCCGACAATGCACCAGTACTCAAATCCCATGTCACACAAATGAATGCATGCTTCTGCCGCTATAAAATTCTTCTGCATCGCAACTTATTCTCCTGACCCAACACCATCCGATTTCAACCTCTTCCTTTCTGTGAAGTTACATTTGAAAAGCAGGCATTGCTAGGATGATGACACTTGATTAGTAAGGTAAGATCTTGCTTGCAGTTCCAACCTATGGAGTTCTACAAGAAAGCTATCTATAAGGACATCAAATGTGTTGTAAACTATGGCAAGGGTGTATTTGAGGTTGGAGGAAACAGCTAACCAATTAATGTCCAAACCACTATGGAGATAATAGGCAAAGAAAGGAAAGAGACGAAGGTAACAAAATGACACTACCCCAAAAGGCACAGCAGCTTTAGGAACAAAATGACAGACTTCACAAGACATCAAGTCTTGCCAACTGCCCACTGCTGGTTTTCCCATCACTTTCATTGACAGGAAACAGTTGACAGAAACCCAGATCTAGACAAGTTACAGATGTCTGCATGTAATTTTGTGTCTGCACTGATGCACGTTCACCACAAAGAAGTGTGTAACTGTGTGGAAGCTATATAAAAAAGGATTCATCAATATGGAATTTTAATGAATGCTCCAAGTATAAGGAACTTAAAACAGGACATTTGAAAGAATATCTTAAACAGCAACCAAAATTAGCGCTAAATTCGATAGAAAATTAAGAATAAAACTGTAGTATCATGTCCAACAAATGTTTTCACATTATGAAAGGATTAAAGTGTTATGGTAATGTCATATTAGATTCAAATAAATATATTTCTAACATGTAACCCATGATATGGAAAGGAAAAGTTATTGAACAATTATGTTAAAAACATTCACTGGGCTTTCAAAAGTAGTCCAACCTAGCAATCCATATACTCAACTGGCACTGAAATAAATTGTTTCATTTCTTTCTGTCACCAGAATTTACTGTCACTCTCTCACATTATATATATATATATATATATATATATATATATATATATATATATATAGGTGATAACAATATATATTTTTATATATCAAGAACAGTATTGGATAAATTGTTTACTTGTGATACATTTAGGACTTCATCAGACTAAGCGCTCGGAATTACAGAACATTTGGACAGTTTCTACACATTGTGTCCAGAAAAGAAAACTTATTCAAACACATGAAAAATGAAATAAAAAGCTTAATTACAGTACCTTGTCTATAGTCTTTAATGAAACATGTATAAAAGAGGGATTGCTGCCTAAATACTCAATTATATGCATGTATTATTAGAATATATTATATATGTAATTGTTAGAATATTATATAATGTTATATTTTTTGATATTTGTTTAATAAATACTTATTCATGATAGCAGAAGTTGCAGAAACAACAAGTGAGATACTGTGGCTCAAAATAATCAGAGGCAGAAATCTACTCAACGAATGAATTAATGAATAATACTCACATATATAGAAATCCATATTTTTGTCTTCCAAGTTCTCTTTCACAAATTTGTAGAGAGAAAAAACTAAAGAAAAATATAAAAAAATGCAATAAAATATATGAACGAACATAACGGGCTTGTCTAATTTTCTAAGATGAAGTGTTTTTTTTTTATTTATTAGTTTTCTTTTATCATATTGTTTTTAATCATAAGACTTAGATTCTGTTACCATTAAGCAAGCAGCATGGATCAGAAAATAAAGAAACTGTTCCCAATGACATCTGAAGTCATATACCATATCCTTGCAAGATCTGACATGGACGATGCTTTACTGATTTGAACAGAGATTTCAAACAACCATTAAGTTTACCACTAATACTACTATGTATAAACAATATAACATGAAGAAAATAAGATAAGGAAGAATGTAACTATATGATTAAATCTGAATTTCACTTGCTGATGTGTCTCTATGGACAAATTGGAATGGTATCATTCATGTCTGACTGGCTCTGAAGCATACACAATTTCAAATTTTGGTGAAGCTACTCATTTTATTTTCTACCTATGCTGCTTATGTAATATTCAAATAATGTAAAACAAGCTGAGTGTTGTGATAAGAGCAACAAAAATAAGATGGAAAGCAAACTAGACTGAAAATAATATTGTATAAACAGTTCTGTTACATTAGTTAACTTATAAATATCAGATTAAAAGCATTTTTCTGGATTTTTCATTTTTTTTTTTTAAAAAAACATAGTGGAATGAGAACAGTCTACTCTCATAGATTAAATAAAGGGTTCAGTTCAGAATTCTCTGTAGTTTATCCAGATCAATATACACCTGATGAAGTCCAGAGGGCATAACAGCCATAATGCTATGATAACAACAACAAAGATGAGGACAATAGTCTAAATATAAATCGTGTAAATAATAACTCCTCACCCCACAAACTCAGACAGAAAGTATTTTTCTTGCACAACAAAAATTAATATTTCTTTTTTTGCTTTCTACTATCCAAAAATAAAACTTACTATTTTTCAATGTTGGTTTTATAATGGATTTTTTTTTTTTTAAAGCATATCTACCTTTTGCAGGTTATTTAAAGCCAGAACATATTTTTAGGCAGTAAAAAATTTTTGGAGATAATAATGATTTACTGATACAAGTGCTATTAATTAACCCATAACTAAATGTACCTGGGTGCACAAGAAATGCAATGGCATCAACGGTAGGCTAACAGGACTACCAGATTACATCTGCTGTGGTGGCAGTGAGACTTGGGGCACCAAGTGTATCAGTCTTGCAGCGGCAACAATGCAATGACCACTCAATGATTCACTGGATCTGCAGCACCAAGCCTCAGTATGAAACACCCTCATCCAAGATGTTAGCAAGGCTCGGTATTGAGGATATAACATCAGTGCTGTGCACACATGGTCTTAAATAGTTTGGTCACGTCCAACGAGCTTTGTTATGCATCAAGACTGTTACAGAGTTCAGGGTTGACCTAGGAAGACATGGAAGGACTACATTAGGAAGGATGTGTGGCAGTGTGGCCTTGCCCACAGTAGCCTGCTTGACAGGGATGCTTGGAAAGAAGGAGTGAGAGCTAGTCGACTGGTGCCTACACCAGTCACTGGTAAAGCTGCAGCAGTATAATCAAAGCTCCGGATCTTGACTTGAGGGGCAGGAGTGAATTCATACATTTTGCAAGAGTCTTTGTGAGTAAGTGAATATAATGAACTCACTTGGAATTGGATCTTGGCTCTCTGATTTTCTATTCTGAATCATTATGCATTACACCACCCACACATCCAAGTTCACAGCACTTGGTATTCCCAAGCAGTCACCAATCTAGGTACTGACCAGGCTTGATGCTGCTTAACTATGGTTGTAAGCTTTCAATGTTGGCAAAAGTTTTTCAAAAAATAAAGCAAAATGACTAAAAATAAGCCCCTCTTGAACAAGCTCCAAATAGAATGCTAGTTAGAATATTCATGGCCAAGACCTGCCAAACCACTTACAGTGTAGCAAACTGCCTTCATTCCCTCTGTATTCCTTTGGTGAGAATTAAGTTCCACTCAAACAGCTTCTTCACATGAACCACTGCTCTGTGGAACCAACTCCCAAGAAGATGTTTCTCTGATCACTACAATCTTAACCTGTTCAAGTCTAGAGTTAACCATTATCTTCCCTACCTATCTGCATAAAAATGTCACCTTCTAGAGCTAGAGTTGGCCCCCAGCACAGGGTGAACCTCACTGTAAAAAAAAAAAAAATGGTGTAATTATTAGCAACCTTGTCTCACTAGATGATTTAAGATTGAATAGTGGATTTGATTTTCACATCTGTCCCACATCTTGCTATGTTATTAACATAAATCCCCCTGCATTTCATCATACAACAATAGTTAAATGTTAAAAAAGATGATGAAACAATAGTAATACCTGTTTCTTTAGGCTTGAAGAATCCTTGGAGTACTAAATAATTTGGAAACTGCACACGAATTACAACTTGCTCATATTTACAGTACCTCTCATTCTTCATTGATTCTCGCAGAGATTTGGTTATCAAAGGCTGCTCCTCAACGTCCCGCCTTTTAAATAGAGAACAAGAAAAAGAAATTCAGGAAATTATTAAGGCTATGTTAAAGTTAAAGAATTTTCCAAAAGCTTTGATAATATAAATTAACATTTCTAAAATTAGCATAAAAATAAAACATAATATAAAATCAATTTATAAACATTTCATAGAGGTTAATTTGGGTACAAATGTGTAATGGTAAGTGTAATTAGCTGTTTCCCTATAAGGAAACATTTGGCATTCATTGTCCAAGCAGCCAGTACTGATTTTGGTTGAAATTTATAAAATCTTTCTCTTAAAATAATTTTTCAGGAAAATAGCTTTTTCAAGCCCAGTAGCTGTTATTGCTCTTTCCAGTATTGATTGGAGTTTCCTTCCTCACCTTTTGTTTGGAGTAGTGTGGAATGTCAGTATCTGAATTATGTCTTTATTTTCTCCAAGTTACTTGTTGTATTTTAGTTGTTGCTGCTGTTAGTAGTCTTCAAGTGATGTGGTTTCTGCTATTTGGATGGTAGTCCTTAAGGTAAAAAGCCAATGTTTACTGATGTAATTAAGTGACTGCTTTATTTCTTTGAGATAAATTTAAGTTACCAAACCTAAATAAATGATGAAAGACTTTTGATGATGAAAAAAGCAATGTTTATATCAACTCACAATTTTTTACGAAGGTCTGACATCATGCACATTAAATCGGCTTTGGTAAGTTCAAAAAATTCATCAGAAGGTTCTGAAAAGAAAAATATCAGTGTTTAATCCAAGAACATCAGGATAATCTTAATATCAATATAGAGCAAAGACAAGCTAATCTGAATTTGATATTTATCAAACTTAGCTTAATCCAGCACAAGGGTAATTGGCAATAAAATCAAAGGGAGAATTTTATACTGAACCAATCTTCCAATTTTTGCCTATCTTGAAAAATCAGCAAAACTCTCTCAATTTTTTTTTTTTTTTTTTTCTCTGGTCTGAACAACATAACGCTAATTGAAGAAATATAACAAAATAGCAAACATTTGCCTTTCAACATTTTTTTAAAATTTGACACCAATCTCTCCTCTGACCCAGCTCTAAAAGCTCAAAAAGAAAAGAAAAAAAAACTAGCTTGAACTCTCAATACCACAAAAAAACAAGCAAATATCATTTCATCATCATTGATCAGACCCCATTATTCTATTGCAGCAGAAAAGATGGGATTCAGTAACACAGACACTAGAAACACCCTCGCAATGAATTCTGGTTTAGTACGCAACAACATGAATTACAATGAATGCACAAAAGTCCTTCTCCCGATTCAACAAGGACTTGTCTTTTTATACGTTCTTGCCAAGCCAGAGAATTTGCATATTGGGCACACTGCCAGCTTCAATCTGACTCCCTGATGCATGTGCCTCGTCATTCCAGTGCCGGTGCTCAGAGAGTCTGCATCGCTAGCAATTTGCTCGCACATATCGGCTACACAACTCTAGCCCTCTTGGACCTATGAAGTAATTCTCCACATCTATCACTCAAGAAATTATCCTACTCTTGCTATGATTTATTTTTACAAGAGTCAGATTAAACCAAAAATGGAGCAAGGCTGCTACACATCAGATGGAGCTGCTTCAATGTCAGATTAAAAATAAATCTATTAACTTTTAAGAAATTCCTTTGTTTACATATTGGATATAAAACTGAGTAGATATGAAGCTTTCAAGAAAATAATGAGGATGTGTTTTCCTTAAAAAGGAAAACAGAACCATACTTATTATATATATATATATATATATATATATATATATATATATATATGTGTGTGTGTGTGTATATATATATATATATAATTATTTATATATTATATGCATGCTACTTATTAGAAAGCTTACAATATCAGAGATAGAGCTAATATCAATCCAATATATATATATATATATATATATATATATATATATATATATATATTTATAAGGTCTGATGAAAAATGTATGGGACTGTTCTAAGATAAAGAGAGCTAAAAATATGTAGAGTGAAGCCACTTAATCTTGAACATTAAGTTATAATGTTCTTGCTCACTTCCACTGTTTATGACAGTGCTTGGAAGGAAAGTGTTTAGAGTGCAGTCTTCTCACTAAACCACGAAGGTTCCATTGGTGACCATGGCTTGTGCACCAGTTTTTGGCCATCACACATTCCCCAGGTCTGACAACAACCGCATTCCCCAGATCTCACCCCTTGCAACTTTCTCCTCTTCAAAAATCAAATCTCACTTGAAAGGTACAAGATTTCAAGACATTGAGGCACTCCTAGAGAATGCAATGAGGCAGCTGCTCGCTTGAGTTCAAGGAATGCTTCCATCCATAGAAACAATGCTGGATAAAGTGTATGGCTTCAGAAGGGGACTACCTCGAAGGAGATTAAATGCCAAATTGATGTGTTGTTGTTTTCTTTTTATGGCACCATCCCAGATACTTTTAATCAGGCCACACACACACAAACACATATATATATATATATATATATATATATATATATATATATATATATATATATAAAATGAAAATATAGTTTTACAGTATGCTATATTTATGGGTTGAAGTGCTCTATATATAAAAGATAATGATATATAAATTATTATATATCAAGAATAATATTGGAGTAAGAAACTGTAAAAATTTTTTGTATGATGCATGTGTGTATATATATATATATATATATATATATATATATATAGACAGATACACACACACACACACACACACACACACACACACAAAATTAAATGAATGTGAAAACCTCTCCAGGTAAATTACATCTATTGTCCATGATTGTTATTTTTGGGCTGAGGTTTGTGTCATCTTCAATGCCAGGCCTATCCTGTCATCTATCCATAAGGTTGTTCTCCCCCAACATCAAATTAATTCTGTTGTGTATAAATACAATTATGGTTGCGAAGTCAGTTACATATGGAGGACTACCCAGCAACTAAATCCGAGGATAAAACAACATGTGCCAAATAAAATCGCTTTGGTTTCAAATGAACTAATCCCAAATACCTTCAGATCCTCAATTTGTGAGCACTTTTTAAAGAACAGTAAGTGTGCTGCTGAACTCAATGTTGATTGGTTTATTGCTTTGTTCCAGTAACACTTTATTTCATCTAAAAGTACTAGAGTTACTGTATATCAAGTCTCGCAAACCATACAATGTGATCATTTGCTGGGACTTGCTATGATTAGTCTCTAGTACTTCCACCCTCTTTTTTTTCTCCCTTCTCTATCCTCTCATCAATCATTCAATAATTTAGATTTATTGTATTTTTTATTCTTTTTCTTCCAATTAAAAACTTTGAAGAACAGGAGAAAAACTGGTTGTTTTCTTCTTTCATTTTTTTTTTTAACTATCAGTTTTTTAATGATGTCAAGTAATATTCAGCTTAATATTTTTTACAGCAGTGTGTGTGTGTATATGTATATATATATATATATATATATATATGTATGCGTGTTTTCACTTTTTTTTTTTTTTAATAATCTCTTGGTTTCATTTAAAATTTTTGTGACTCTTATGACTTTGCATTCATTTATTTTTCCATAGATATTATCGTCATCTAGGTGGTGTTTTATTTTTTGTAGATAAATGTGTTTGTTTATATTTACAATTTTACTGCCTTTGTAGTTTGATATTTCTTTCAGAGCATTTTTATATCTCTGGGGAAATGTGTTTTTTATATATATATATGTGAATGTCAGTGTGTCAATGTGTCACACTTTTTCAACTTTACTCCTGGAGGCCATAGCCCAATATATCATACCATTTTAGAATCAGGCCAACTCAATGATCAAATTAAAAACATTCTGGGAGTAAAGTCAAAAAAAGTGTGACATTTGCTTTTATATATATATATATATATATATATATATATATATATATATATATATATGCACTTTTAAACACACGTTTTGCTGATTTTTCTCAATCTATAATATCTTCTTTGAAATTACAATGACAATATATTATAGGAAATGGATTAAATCCAACAAAAATTTTAATATATTTTCTGTTTATACTTTTTTTTTTTTTTTTATGGATACACTTATTTGAGTAAATGCTCTGTTTTTTAATTTAAGCCTAATTTGATACGTGCAGATATGATAGATTGAGAATGACCAGCAAAAGTGTGTATTTAAAAACAGTAATTCGAGCATTGCTAACCGGGAGTTATCTGTGGCTGAATGGCCATAGCACGTCAAGATTAATGATAGTTCTGTATGGGATACAGGTTTGATTCCTGTTGGAGAACACATATTTTCTACAAAATTTCTAACATTCAGGCCAGTAAATGTAATTAATACTGTTTAATTAAAAAAAAAACAGAGCATTACTCAAATAAGTGTATCCAAAAAAAAAAAAAAAAAAAAACAACATATAAAATAGAGAATATATCAAAATATTTGTCGGATATAATCCATTTCATATATGTTGTTATTGTTTACGTTAAGCTACAATTTCAGAGCAGGAAAAATTGGCGAAGGTGCGTGTTTAAAAGCAGTAATTCTAGTTTTGCTAACCCGAATTTCTCTGTGGCTGAATGGTCATAGTATATCAGTTATGGTTATATATATCATGGTATTTTGTTGGGAAGGGAAATAACTCTTACAAGTTGAAATTTATTGAAATTATTATTGGTTCCTAAAATAGAAGCTTTTTCTGCCAAGTTTCAACAAAGTATATTTCAGTAGTTAAAGCACAGAATCAAAGTCACCAACTCAGACCTCTTAGTACTTGATTCTTGTGAGTCTAAGTAAATCTGGAGCGGAAATAATTTTTTTTTTTTTTTTTATGCTAATCTTTTCCTTTCCTAGTTATATTAAACTTTTGAAGCTAAAGGATTCAATTTTATTTCAAAGTGAATTTACATTTAAGTTTTATACGAACCGTATTCACAAACTAGCTTACGCCTCATAACTGGGATAGTTGTGCATTTTCTATTCGTGCTAGATGTTGGTGCCAGAGTGCAGGTAAAAGTCAGAATATCAAATATCAATTTAATAGTAAACAAATCAAACAAAATATCACTACCTCCAATTTGTCCATGTGCCACACAACTCTAGGCTTGTAAATATCAGTTTTATGTTAATCTAGTGTTGGAAAAGTTTCTGTACTTCAATATTGGAATTATGAATTTTCCCCAAACTGTTAGAATACAGAGAGAATACAAACTATTTTCCATTATGCAAAATCATGCTTTTATAAAATTGTCTTATCTTACAATTAACCAATCTTTAAAAAGTTTCTTTTGTTTTACATTTATTCATAAAAAGTTTTTACTTTTTTTCTTTTTTTCGTATTTACAATTGTAAGTCAACAGCTGACATTATTTTTAAGTGAATAAATGATGTTGACATTTACTTGTGGTATTTGCCATACTTAAACTTACATTATCTTCATCAATTATATAATAAAAAAAATAAAAGATAGGCATTTGTTAGATTATATGCAGGTTGGGGTGTACAACTAGTCATATGTTTCCAAGCTATTTTGTCCAGATGAAAGACAAAAATATATATACAGAGACATAACATTTTCTAAGTGTATATATATTTACTAAATACACTAAATTATGTAGTCAGTTTGGCTACTTTATCATCACTGATAAAAAATGCTCCAAACTTAATGAAAACAAAGTTTTATCATGAAAATCTTTGTTATTATTTAGAGGAAAGCTCAAAGTATTTCTTGAACATTTAATTA